ATATATATATATATATATACATAAAAGGAGATATGCAGACACGAGGCAAAAGGAGACAAAAGGAGACACAAAAGGAGACGAAAAGATATAAAAGGAGACACAAGGAGGTAAAAGGAGACAGAAGAAGATTAAAAGATATACAAGAAGAGACAAAAGAGGAGACAAAAGAAGAGACGAAAGGAGACAGCAGAGAGGAGACAAAAGGAGACAGTAGAAAGGAGACGAAAGGAGACAGTAGAAAGGCGACAAAAAGAAACAAGGAGAGACAAAAGGACAGACAAAAGGAGACAGAGAAGGAGAGAGAGATCTCAAGCATCAGCAGCAAACGTAAGAAGAGGGAAGGGATGTCAGAAGAAGCCAGCAGCAAGAGAGATAGAAAAGAATAAAAATAACAACAACCCCACCTCGAACACGAGGTATTTCATTTATAAGTGCTGCTGCTTCTTCGCCGCTAACTGTCTCCCACTTCAGCCGATCCAGCGCATCTAACAGACGCAGATACTCCTCAGGAGACACCTCAGAGGAGCCCCTGCTGCTGCTGTTGCTGCTGCCTGCTGCTGCTGCTGCTGCTGCACTGGGTGCTGCTGCTGCTGCAGCAGGCGAGTCAGCAGCACAACTCCCACGCCACCAACTTCCCTTGCGACCTGCTGCTGCTGCAGCTGCTGCTGCTGCTTCGATCTCAGCTGGAAGCAGATCTGCATCTGCTGCTGCTGCTTCCATCCCGCAACTATCTGAGTCCGCTGCTGCTGCTATTGCTGCTGCTGTTGCTGCAGCAGCTCCCTTGCTGCTGCTGCTGCTGCTGCTGCTGGCATCCCCTGACAGAGGTGTCCTAGGAGGAGACGGCAGCATCAACCCCGCCGCTGCTCGCAGCAGCTCTGGTGAAGCCCACATCTGCTCCTGCTGCAGCAGCAGCAAATGCTGCTGCTGCTGCTGCTGCTGCTGCTGCTGCTGCTGCTGTTGCGGTCCCTTTTCTCCCACATCATCCCTCAGTTGCATAGCTGACGGCGCCTGTCGGTGCTGTTGCTGCTGCTGTTGTTGCTGTTGCTGCTGCAGTTGTCTTGCGAATCCCCCCATATTTGCTGCTGCTGCTGCTGCTGCTGCAGCATTAGCTGCTGGTTCTGCATGATTGCATCTGTTGTTAAGTTTAGAAGCCCCCAGAGACCCAGGAGGCCCAACAGGAGCACTCGCAGCAGCAGCAGCAGAACCACCAGCAGCAGCAGCAGCAGCAGCACCAGCACCAGCTGCTACAGCAGCAGCAGCAGCAGCAGCAGCTTTATTTTTTTCTGTTTGCTGCCCACTAATGAACAAAACTTTTGTTGCTCTTGCTAAATACTTCGCGCGATGAAAGCCGTACTTCTTAACCCCAAAACATCGCTTTACATGACGCCGTCCTATGAACAAAAGCAAACAAACAAATAACTTAAAATATAACTTAAAATGCTTTAAAAGGTTTTAATATGTTATAAAAGAGCAAAGAATAGTAAAAGGAGAAGAATATTAAAAACAGATAAAAGAATATTATTGTTTAAAAGTAGTTAAAAATATTAAAGGAGACAGAAAAATAATTAAAGATATAAAATAAAATACTTAAAAAGATAAAAGAATATTAAAGAAGACAGATGAATAATATTAAAGGAGACAGATGAATATTAAAAAAGATAAAAGAATATAAACGGAGACAGAAGAATATTAAAGGAGACAGAAGAAAAGGAGACAGACATAAAAGAGAGAGAAGCAAAAGGAGACAGCAGTAAAAATAAAAGAGAGAAGCAAAAGGAGACAGCAATAAAAATAAAAGAGAGAAGCAAAAGGAGACAGCAATAAAAATAAGAAAGACAGACTAAGGAGAGGAAGAGACAAAAAGAAAGAGACAGACAGAGAGGAGACAAATAAAACAAACAAACAAACGACAAACAGAGAGACAAACAAAAAGAAAAAACAGAGGAAGAAAGAACAGACAAAAGGAGACAGACAAAGCAGAGTTAAAAGGAGACAGACAAAGCAGAATTAAAAGGAGACAGACAAAGCAGAGTTAGAAGGAGACAGACAAAGCAGAGTTAAAAGGAGACAGCAGAGGAGACAAAAGAGCAGAGACAAAGAGAGACAAAAGGAGACAGAAAAAAGCAGAGACAAAGACAGACAAAAGGAGACAGAAAAAAGCAGAGACAAGGAGAGACAAAAGGAGACAGAAGAAGAGAGAGAAAGGCAGACAAAAGGAGACAGAAGAAGAGAGACAAAGAGAGACAAAAGGGGACAGAAAAAAAGCAGAGACAAAGACGGACAAAAGGAAACAGAAGAGGAGAGACAAAGAAAGACAAAAGGAGACAGATAAGCAAGCAAAAGAATAATAAAGGAGACAATTAACCCTCACCGTCGTGCCACGTTGCTAGCCAAGCCTTATCTCTTTGATCAAACCGTACGCCGGGGACATCGCACTCGAAGTCGCTGCGGTTTAAACAGGCGAGGCCGAAGTCTTTGGGTGTACATACACCTAAACTTGAGTCTCCTGCATCAGATGCACAGGCCCCTACTCCTCCTCCTGCTGCTCCTCCTGCTGCTCCTCCTGCTGCTCCTGCTGCTCCTGCTGCTCCTGCTGTCGCTGCTGGGGTAGGCGGCGGTACTTCCCTGCTGAAATTCCTGCGGCTGGCGGACACAGGAAACATTTCATCCTCCTTTAAAGAACGACGCTGCTGCTGTTGCTGCTGTTGCTGCTGCTGCTGCTGCTGCTGCTGCTGTTGCGCCAAAGCTGTTACTGCTGCTGCTACTAACGCCGAAGCAGTACATCCCTCGAGAGCAGAGCCACATGCTGCTGCTGCTTCTGTATCGGTTTCTTCCCTTGGAGAGTCTGGAAAATGGTGCTGCTGCTGCTGCTGCAGCTGTTGCTGCTGCTGCTGCTGCTGCTGCTGCTGCTGCTGCGTTTGTCCCTCATGACTCCATTTACTCCCTAAAAAAGTTGCGGGGGCCCCCGACGCCTGCCTCTTCGTTTCTGCTTTTGGTTGGCGCAGCAGCAGGTGCTGCTGCTGCTGATGCTTCCCACTGCGCTGTCGCTTGCTGCCGACTGTCCCTTCTGCTGCTGCTGCTGCTGCTGCGGCTGCGGCCGCTGCTGCAACAGGAGCAGCAGCAGCAGCAGATGCTGCCGCCGGCGGTGCAGCAGCAGCAGCAGCAGCCTCTGAAGCAACTTGGCGCTTGCGTCTGGAAGTATGAATCTCTGTTTCTTCTCCCGGCGACATGGTAGTAGCAGCAGCACCAGAAGCAGCAGCAGCAGCAGAATTTGCTGCTTGTGCTGCTGCTGCTTCTGCTGTCACCTGCTGCTGCTGCTGTGCTCGTGCTGCAGCTAAGAAGAAGCAAATATGCAAAATGTCTTATAAGTGCCGGTGCAGCAATTCAGTGGGGCCTACGAGGACTTCTTAAGGCCCGGAGCTGCTGCTGCTACGGCTGCTCCTGCTGCTGCTTCTGCAACAGCTGTTGCTGCAGGCGTTGCTGCTGTTGCTGCTGTTGCTGTCAGTGCTGCTGCTGGAAGCGATCCCCTGCTTCGGGATCGGGAACGTCACTGCGGTTCGCGGATCCCGCTTGAGGCTGGAGCAGCAGCAGCAGCAGCAGTTGCTGCTGCTGCTGCTGCTGTTGCTGCTGTCGATGTTGTTGGGAAGAAAGCCCCTGAAATAGAGAAAGAAGAGGAGACAGAAAGACAAATCAACAGGAGAAGATGCAAGAAAAGAAACAGAGATTAATAGCTGCTGCAAGCGAAGCAAGAGGCCGCGCCCGATACCAGGGGAGGGCAGCAGCAAAGGTCCGGATACACCCGAAAATAAAAGATAAAATCGTGAAAGAAAAGCAAGAAAAAGATATCAAAAAGAAGAGAATAACAATAAGAATTAATAAGAAGCAAAAGCAAAACATAAACAGCAAACTAAAAGAGAGACACGCCTTGATATATCCTCAACCCCCAACAGACTGGCTGGCGGCGACAGTGCTGCAGCAGCAGCAGCAGCAGCAGCAGCAGCAGCAACAGCAGCATTCAACAGTAAAAAATACACAAGCTGTATATATAAACGTAATCTAAACACTGTCGTTTACCAATTAAAACAAACTATACTAGCTGCATGTACACCCCGGGTAAGACAGCGTAAGGCCGTTACTCAAACCCTCTTTGCCGCTGCGGTGGGGCCGGAAGCAGCTTTATAGAAGAGAGAAAAGAAGGGTTTTATCTGCTTCTCTCCAACAAACAGCAGCTTTATTGAGGTTATTAACCTTAAATGAATATAAATTTTATCTAAATTTATCTACTTAAAACAAAAAGCAGAGACCCCCGCGCTATAAGGCTCTCCCGCGACCGTGTTAACCCCAGCAGCCAGTAAGGTCTACTCTTTCTGCTTTTGTTTCTTCTTTTTGTTTGTAAATATGAATATTAAATGCATTTAATGCATTGTTTTTAGGAAAATAATTTGTTTTCTATCATGATTAACAATATATAACGATGTGGCCGAGCAGATATACACCCCGAGGTCTACGCTGCAGGGAGAGCGCCGCCGCTCTGTCTCTGTCGCTGAGGGCTTCTTCATTTTTTGCAAATAAATCCTTTTTAATGTTTAAATTATAATTATAATTGAATTCTTTTATCTAAATACCACTCAAAAACGATCTTTAAAACATATCTTTAGCTGTATATACACCCCAGCTTTCATCAACTCCAACGGCACTTCGCCCGATCCTCATGTGCCTCTGCTGTATTTCTTTTTCCTGTTGTTTATCTCAATTTGTTTATTTAAATACCTTTAACAAAAGAAATAAATATGCATGCATGCGAGAACACTGAGGGTTTTCCTTCTCTAAACACCACAAAAAACTGCTGTCCATTTAACAATACAACATAACCCGCGTCTCCGTCTCGTTTAGGTTTTAGGGTTTAGGGTTTATGGTTTAGGGTTTAGGGTTTACGGTTTACGGTTTAGGGGGTTACAACCGGCTTGAGGGTTTGCATCAGGGTTTAGGGTTTAAGGCCTACAGCTGCTGCCTCTCTCTTGCTGTCTCTACTTTATTGCTGAGGCGGCTTGTCTCTGTCTCTGTGTTGTGTATATACATATACAATACATATATAATATATATTATACATTATATATTATATAGAAAGCTCTTTGTTTATAGAAATTCTTTGCTGAAACTCTTTCTGTTTCTTCTGCTGCATGCACTGCTGTAGTTGGTCTCTCCTGAGCCTCAGCACCTTCCACCTTCAACCCCACAAGCTGAGGGTTTAGGGTTTAGGGTTTAGGGTTTGTGGGGTTGAGGGTTTAGGGTTTGTGGGGTTGAGGGCTTGGCGTTTGTGCTGCTAATCTTCACACCAAGCGACAAGAGACAGAGAAACACGTGCATGCGAGGCTTATTCTTTCAGGTATATAGGGTTTAGGGTTTAGGGTTTAGGGTTTAGGGTTTGAGACCACTCAAGAGGAGGTGGAGATACACCGCAAAACAAGCAAAGAGGACATCTGTCTCCTTTTCTTTCTTTCTTTTCTTTTATTAAATACAAAGGCCCTTCACCCTTCTTTGTATATCAATAGTTTTATGTATAAGCAGATACACACACATATATGCATATATGTTTATATATAGCAGTACCTATATATGTAATATATATAATATATAATATATTTATATATATGCATATGTTTATATGCATATATGTGCACATTCGTATGTGTATATATAGGTGTATGGATGTCTACATATATGTATACATATATATATACACATATCTATATACATATATATATATATATATATGCATATACATATATACATTTATGCATGTATTCATGCATGTACTTGTATACATATACATCTACAGATGCATACATGAAAAAAATATATATATATATATATATATGTATATACATATATATATATATATAGATGTATATATATATATACATTTATATACACATATATATGTGCATATATGTCTACATGTATTTATATATAGATATAACAGAAGCAGCAGCATCATCAAAGAAGAGTGCTATAGCAATGAACTCTTGCATGTACAAGGCACTGCTGCTTCTGCTGCTGCTTTTGCTGCTGCTTTTGCTGCTGCGTCTGCTGCTGCACCTGCTGCTGCTCGTGCTATTGCTGCTGTCGCTCGAGCTTAGGTAATGTTGTTTGTCTTTCTATAGAGGCCACAGCAATATTTTCCTTAACAAGTAGACACCCCTGCAGCTGCTGCTGCTTCTGCTGCTGCTCGTGCTGCTGCTGCTACTTGTGCTGCTGCTCGTGCTGCTGCTGCTACTTCTGCTGCTGGTCGTGCTGCTGCTGCTGCTTCTGCTGCAGTTGCTAGGCGATAGAGTTATCCTGTTGTGTTAATAACAAAGAAGTTATTTGTTCTATATTTATATTTAATATGTCTATCAATGAGGCATATATATATATATATGTATATATATATATATATATATATGTATATATACATATATACATATATATATATATATATATATATATATTTACTCATTATATATATATATATATTATGTATTTATAGTATATCTAATTGTAAGGGGCACCCATATAGATTAATAGCAGTCAATCTTGGTCGTCTCTGTCTCCTTGTTTTGTTTTCTTCGTTGTTTCTGTCTCCTTCTTGTTTGCTGTCCCCTCTTTGTCTGTCTCCTTTCTGTGTTTTGTCTCTTTTATGTTTGCTTCAGAAGCATATATGCTGCATTTCTCTTCTTTGTTCTTCTGTCTCCTTCTTGTTTGCTGTCTCTTCATTGTTATCTGTCTCCTTCTTTACTTTCTCCTTCTTGCTGTCTGTCTCCTTCCTAGGTCTCTTGTTCTTATATGTCTGTCTCCTTCTTAGCTCTCTTGTTCTTATATGTCTGTCTCCTTGTCTGTCTCCTCCTCGTTTTCTCTCTGCTTCTTGTCTGTCTCCTTCTCGCTGTCTGTCTCCTTTCTCTTTGTCTCCTTCAAGTTGTTGTTCTCCTTTATGTTCTCTGTCTCCTTCGTTCTATCTGTCTTCTTCTTTATGCCTGTCTCCTTCTTTCTATTTATCTTCTTCTTTATGCCTGTCTCCTTCTCTCTATCTGTCTCGTCTCGTTTTCTGTCTCCTTCTTTCTATCGGTCTTCTTCTTTATGTCTGTCTCTTTCTCTCTATCTGTCTCCTTCTCGTTTTCTGTCTCTTCATTCTTCGCCATCTGTCTCAGAGAGCAAGGAAGAGACAGGTTGAAAGAAGGAGACAGATATCTGTCGATATCTGCCTCCTTCTTGTTTTCTGTTTCTTCATTGTTATCTGTCTCCTTCTCTCTATCTGTCTCCTTCTCTCTATCTGTCTCCTTCTCTCTATCTGTCTCCTTCTCTCTTTCTGTCTCCTTCTCTCTATCTGTCTGCTCTCTATCTCTCTGTGTCTGTCTCTATCTGTCTACTCTCTATCTGCCTGTCTCTGTCTCTGTCTCTGTCTGTCTCCCTCTGTCTGTCTGTCTCTCTCTCCTCGTCTGTCTCCTTCTCTCTATCTGTCTCCTTCTCTCTATCTGTCTCCTTCTCTCTATCTGTCTCCTTCTCTCTTTCTGTCTCCTTCTCTCTATCTGTCTGCTCTCCATCTCTCTGTCTCTGTCTCTATCTGTCTACTCTCTATCTGCCTGTCTCTGTCTCTGTCTCTGTCTGTCTCC